TCTGTTCAAAATTGTACGAACTTGAACAACTATACCCCTCCACAAACTTGTGTCCCCAGAACTGAACCTGAAAATTTTTATTAAATGGTCAAAAAAGGCATCCTACACCTTGTCAAAGAGAAGATTTCATGTCTATGTAATCAACCACACCCTCACTAATCAACTGTTGAATTTCTGTTCTTGTATAACCAATCTCTTGTAAAACCTCCATGGAATGTTCCCCAATCTTTGGCTGAGGCTTGCTCTCACAACAGCCTGGTGTTCTGGACAATTTGGGAGCAGGAGTAGGTTCATATGCTCCATCACTCCAAATAAACGTCTTTCTTTCTTCATTGTGTGGTTCATAAGGTGCTTCATCCATAGTGAGAACTGGTGTTACACAAGCATCAAGATTCTTGAATAATTCCCACCACTCAGACTGAGTCTTTGTTAGAAACACTTTGGTAATTTCCTCTTTAGCCTTTGGCCATTGATCTATATCAAATTGAGATGGAAGTTTTTCTTCCAACTGGAGCCCTAAAAAAATTTATCACCTTCAGTAAAATGCAAACCTTATACCCTTAAAATCCTTAGAGCGACTACCTTATTGGTAGTTTATTTTGCAGGTCTTTAATTTTGCATTCATCTGAATTGCTGGAAGAAATTAGATGCAATGCAATGGTATTTTGCGGGGTTTATATTCCCAATTTCAATGGGCAAAAATGAAAAAAAGGCATTAAATTTTGCAATTCAAGCGTTCTTAACTACATTTTTCTCCCAAAATGTTGTAATTTTTGATGACTGGCCAAAAGTAAGGAATTTGTATAAATCTAGCGATTCAGTCAAAGATTATATGAAGACTCTCTTCAAACCTTTACAAATTAAGGTCAGATTCATAAAATAATGTGGCTAAATTGAAGATCTTTAGAATACCCTTTTGCTCAAGAAAATGGCCACTGCTTGTTTAAATAGCCAATCCTCAGATTCAATGGTATTCAATGACCAATCACAGCATTTAAAAATGTTTTTTTTAATTTAAATTTACAACTTAATGGTGCAAAGAACAAATGTTAACGACAAACCTTTAATAAGATTTTGATAAAACTTGGGCTCAATGGCTCCAACAGCCATGTATCTTCCATCAGATGTTTGATATGTATCATAAAAAGGTGCCCCAGAATCCAACAAGTTCCTGCCACGCTCAGGATGCTGCCAGATGAATCCCATATCAAGACTCTTGTAAATAAAAGATCCTAGATATGCTGCACCATCAACCTTCAAAAAAAAGAAAAAAGTTAAAAAAAAAAAACAGTTATAAACAAAAGAAATCTTTAAAAACTGACTTAATAAAATAAAAATTACTCCATGAGGGTGACATGTTAACCACATGTGTAAGTTGATGGGTTAACAGAAAACATCAAGCACAGCTCTCTCTTTCATATTATTTATATCAATAATAAAAATATAAACAACACTTTACCATAGAGGCATCAACAACTTGGCCTTCTCCAGATTGAGATCTCTCAAACAAAGCTAGCAAAATTCCAAAAGCACATGACAGTCCTCCACCTGCAAAATCTGCTAGAAGGTTGATGGGTGCAGTGGGTTTCTCATCCTTGCGTCCAAGCTTTGAAAGCAGCCCAGTTTGGGAAACATAGTTTATGTCATGACCAGCTCTCTTAGCATGACATCCTGTCTGGCCATAGCCTTTGAATTATAAATAATTTTGCAATTCAGTTTTAAGCATGATGATTTTATTATTAATAACACCCTTAATATTAAGGAAAAAGGAATTTCAACTCCATGAACCATGAATGACAACATGGACCCATGTAATTACTCACCTCAGGAGTTGAGGGGTTAATGCAGGTGAAATTAACTCAACCCCCCTCTCTTTTGTGTTGGGAAAAAAATCTAAATTCAGCATACACCACACAGGTGAATAATGCTGTCTACTTTTGGCTAATTTAGAATTACCAAGCCAGTACCACTCACCTTTGAGCAGCCAAAGAGACATCAACAGTTAAATTTTAATTTGGTATGTACTGAAATAGTTATTCATCTCAGTGTTAGTGAAAGTGGTAAATTTTTACCTCACCACTTTGCAACTGGGTAAATATTGTCCCCTATTCACCTCCATATTGGTGAGTAAGTGGACATAATAAAAATGACTTTTCAGAGCACCTCTATGAACAAACAAGTGTGTCTCTTGTTTTATAACAACAGCAAAATGCTCTCTCAACTTGAGTCAACTTTTGTAAGTTGACTATCATTGCATCATATATAAGGCTTACAAATTGGGGAAAATAACTTAACAAATATCACCTCATATTACCTACTGTCTACTTTTTGATGAGTTGAATGTTTACAATCCACAGTGTTGATGTCACTTCACCAGCAGTGAATAAAAATTAAATATAGGTAAAAATCTAAACACTTGCTGTTTAAAGGACATACATCATGAATTTCATTTTGCTGTTGGGGTTTTTTTTTTGTTTTTGTTTTTGCAATTTTTGTTATTCCAATTACAGATTGTTGCTGTTGTTAATTACCGCAACTAATACTTAGACTCTACTTTATAGAGACTACCTGTTAATCGAGCGTAAATTAATCTTGGATTTTCTTTCAACAGTATCTCTGGTCCTAATCCCAATCTCTCCATAACTCCAGGTCTAAAAGGCTCAATCAAAACATCGGATTTCAAGCACAGCTTACGCACGATGGCCATCCCCTCAGGAGTCTGTAAGTCTACAGATATGGACCTCTTTCCCCGAGCAAGTCTATCGGTAGTGGACATAGTTCTTACTTTGTCTATTCGCGTGACCAACGCGCCGAAATCAGCTAGAATCATTCCGCAAAACGGTGCAGGAGCAAGTCCTGCGAGTTCAACCACTCGAATACCAGCCAAAGCCGCCATCTTGATAACTAATCCGCTGGCTACTGGACTGCTGGCGAATTCCTGCCCACTTGACGGGGGAGAGAGGGGTGTCGTAAGATTTTGATTGTGTCGTGATAAAATTTTCCTGATCCACCTATAAGACTCTGTAGTTTTCCAATGATCCCTCCTAATTGGCTGACACTTTTCCCTAGTCCCATCTTTGAACTCTTTCGGAGACGACTGATCCTCGCTCAGTTCCCTTTGAAAACCATGTGATCCCCAACATTCGCCTACAACCCCCATGTTGGCGATAAATCAGTACCGGTTCCTTGCAACAACTTTTTTCCGTTTTTTTGTTAATTATTTTCGTCTCGCAAGTGGGAATATAATGATTATGCAAAAATATAATAAATACAGGGGATTCTTTTTAACGGTTGCTCAAAGAAAATATCGCATGGTTATCGATTAGAACGCGTGCTTTTTCATTCCCAATCAAACATTCGTCAGGTCAGAAAGAAGTCGGATATTTTTTTGCCATAAAGATGTTAACTCCCACCCGGGAGTCGAAAGCGATTTTGAGATCTACCTCGGCTTCGTTGAAGACTTTCGTTTTCTGTATTTTATAAAATTTGCACAGATAAATTCCGATTTTCACCGAAGCTCGGTGATAAAGTATTTCTTAGACTGTAATCGAATACTGCTTCATGCTTCAACCCCGACTCTGACTCTAGATGGGGAGGATCGAGGGCGGGAATAAACCAGCTGTCGGCCGCAGTCGAGAACTCGGGTGGATTTGGCATTATTAAGACTGAGGTAATTAGGAGGGACTTGAAAATATCTATTCAAGATCAGGAAATAGGATTTATACCCCCCAGTAACCCCCCTTTGAAGATTTTCAATTTTAGCATGATTTCATTGACGATGTAATGCCAGATTTAGAGGGGAGCGATTCAAGTCTATTCCCAGAATAGAGAACATTGCATGACAAAGAAAAAAATTAATTATAAGATGAAAAAAGAGGAGAAAAAAAATGAAACGAAGTACCAGTACACTAATAAGAGTAGCTCTAATGAAATCACAAGCAGAGAGCCTTCGATCGCAATATAAAATATTTTTAAAAAGGCGAGGAAATTTATGTTCTTGATGTAACAACTTTCAGTGGAGCCAGTTCTGCAATTAAACTTTTGACAGTTTGTATGAGAGCGATAAGACAGTCATATCAAAGTTGTGAGCCTGTCGATCCCTTGAAGTGAACACAAGCATCAGAGCATATGAAAGAATGTTTTGATTATTCACACTTGAGTGCAAAGCGTTTAATCCCCTTGATCAAGAGTTTTTCAAAATGACTACCTTTGTTTGTTTAGCCTAAATTGGGGTTGAAATCTGGGAACATTTTTGACATGACAAAATCACTACCCTTGGGCAAGATCTCGCAAAGACGGAGAGTGCAAGTTATAGAGGGCTTTCCTGGTGCTATTTTTTTTAAGGTCATTTAGATGTAAAGATAGACGAATGATCGCCTTCTGGAAATAAATTTTGACATGAGCAGTTAGTTTCGGTTTGCCATGTATTTCACACTACATCGACCAAAAAGTGCTAATAGATAGAAAGAACAAAGTCATTTTGGCTGCTGGAAAGTTCAGTTTGACTTGTTGTTCCAAGAGTAGCTTTAATTACTGGCTTGTTGTCGTCGCTTCTTTTTATTTCTTTTCCGATCAGCAGAAGACAGTGCGAATTTATCGAAGCGTGGAAAAGCTTACTTCTTGTCGGTTCTTTTGTTATGGTTGCCGGTGAAACTAGGCGATTAGCCAATGAGAGTCCTCGAAATGATTTATTTATGTCTCAATGGGCTTGAACTGGAGTCAACAATTTAAACAAGAAAAAGCGCAGTTTACAGGACGCTCTCGTGGCCGGAAAGATGGGAGAAATCAAAGTGCAAGAAAGATAAGCGTCCAAATATTTCGTTCCCTCGGAGACGGAAAGCTGGAGCAAATATTCGAGAATTTTGCACGTGAATGGTGACGTAAGGATATAGCAAACATGGCTGGCACTGAGAGAGCGAACTTCTTGAAACCTTTACTGTTCACTAAAATGTTCAGTCCCTGGTCCTTTATACCTTCGTAAAGTTCGAAGACTGCTAAAATATTTATCTATTTTCTAAAGTCTAGAAGGACTTTTGTCTTTGTAAGCCATGAAATCGAGACACATGAGTATCAGAGGAGTTGTTACGATGTTTGGCGGGTTGATTTTTGGCTTCACTGTGGCATTGTTCCTCCGGCAGAATCTTCTGCCCGTCCAGTCACGGCGTTGCCATATGAACTTTATCAGAGACGTACGGCCGAGCACATTGTCTAAAGAGCTTAACTCCAAACATTTAATCTTTATTGGAGTTATGACGGCTGAGATGTTTCTCGATTCGCGAGCGAAGGCAGTTCATGATACGTGGGGACGAAACGTCCCGGGTAAGTTAGAGTTCTTCTCAAGCGGCACGTCCCAGACTAAGATGGAATTACCCGTTGTGAGTTTACCCGGCGTGGATGATTCATACCCTCCTCAGAGAAAGTCCATGATGATGTTGAAGTACATGCATGACAACTATATCGACCAGTTTGAGTGGTTTATGCGTTCGGATGATGATGTTTACATTAGGACCGAGAAACTTGCAAGCTTTCTTCAGTCCCTAAATAGTTCTCAGGACATTTATCTTGGCCAAGCTGGAACAGGATCTAAAGACGAAAAAGGCTTGCTGGGTTTGGGCTCTGGAGACAATTTTTGTATGGGTGGTCCAGGAGTCATTATAAGCAGAAGCGTTTTGAAGAAGGTTGTACCTCATATCGAATATTGTTTGAAACATTTGCTCACATCGCATGAAGATGTGGAGGTTGGGCGATGTATTAAACGTTTTGTGGGGATTCCATGCACTTGGTCTTTTGAGGTAAGTTTTCTGTTCTTGATTTATTATTGCTATATTAAAGTTGCGTCGGTAGAGTGGGATGAACTCGCGTTATAAAGTATGCGGCGGAATTAATTTTAACATACTCACTGTTGAGGTCATGATCAAGAGATAAGCGGACGGCGGGGTGAACGGCGCAAGATGGGGAGGGGAGGGGGTGTCTGAGTGCGAGGCGGTAGCTTAATCAAATTGGGGGTCGAAAAGACGGGGGCAAAAGTTATTTTCCGTGTTTTCCTTTAGTGTAGGTATCAAACAGAACATTTTTTGTGTGATTTATCATGTCACAGTTAAACATGTCTGATGCAGGAAGTTCAAGCTCCTGTGTTCCTTATTTGCTTTTGATTAACACCTTCCCTCTGCTCACATTTAGACTTAATTTCTCTTTCTTTGAATTGTTCTGGTGTCTATAGAGATGTTCATAATAAAAATAGTCACAGAATACATTTACAAAAAATTTCCATGATTACCTCAAACATTCAACACAATTATGATGATCAGGCTCTAATTTAAAATGATGTAGTCTGTGTCATTTTAAATTGTTACTCTGACATTTCTGTGAGTGAGAAATACAGTATATCTTTCTTTATCAAGAATTTAAACTCTTACTATGAATTTTCTTTTCTTATAAATTATAATTCAAAAAAGATACTCTTGAATTGTGAGAGGGCATATCTATAGTGCTTTGGAATTCTTGTTTACTTTCAATAGCATGCTGAAAACTAGACTGAGAAGTTCAGGTTTTAGAATTGACCAGGGCAGTTATGTTGAGTTCTTAATCAAGAATTTAAACTCACACCATGAATTCTCTTCTCTTAAGAATAATAATTCAAAACAGATACTCTTGAATTATTAGAGCACTTATTCCCCCCCCCCCCCCCCCCCCCCCCCCCCCCGCACCACTAAAAACAATCTGTTGGGGTTTATGCCATTCTGTAATATCAATGCTTCAGTTTATCCATCCTAAATTTAATCTGACTATCATGAAATAAAGCAAATACCAAGTATACTGAAATCAGGGTATACACTATTTTTATGCTTCAGTTTCTCGTAAGTTACTCCAAAAAGTTGGTTTTCTTTACTGGTAAGCTTAAATTGTTGAAGATATTGTAAAGTACTGTTTATATAGGCCCTTTGAATATTTGTGCTTGTGGTGTATGTGAATTGCTGTAGATAAAAAAGAAGATTACCTTGACCTTTGTAGTTTCTGTGATAATACATGCAGTTGGTCTAAAAGGTCTTAATTTTTTTAAAATAATTAATTGAATGCATGATTTGAGCCCTGAATTACCTCTAAGTTGTATCCAATTTAGAATTATCAACAGTTTTTGTCTTGGCTTGGCTCTTCCCATCTTCAAAGCTGAGAATTGAAATTGTATTAAAAAATTATATAACCCTTCTTAAAAACCTAAACAATATCAGTGTTAACCAGTGTTGATTAACATATGCAAGAAAAATTTAGGGATACTATTTTTCTTTCTTTTGTGTGGAGGGAAGGGAAAAGAAAGCTTTGTTATTTACTTTAAAATTCTTAGTTAAATTTCATGTTTTTCCAGCTGCTCTACTGTTTCCCTCTCAAATTGATTATTTACTCAAAGATGTGCAAATAGCACTTTAGTTGATTGAATATTCAGACATTTATTTCAAGGAAGGTATTCTTTGTTAGGCCCTATTGTTTGTTGGATAAATAGCTTTTCTAATTTTTCACAGTTTATTTTAGCTTCACAATGGTATAGCACAAATTCCAGATCATCACCAACAATTCATTTTTTTCATTTGCTTGTTTTCCCATGGCAACACTTTCAACTCTAATTTAGGAGTTTTGGAACTTGCATATTTCTTTTATCAGGTTGTAAATGGTAGAAGAAAATTATTCTCCAGGAATAGTTTTCAAAAAAGCTTAATTATAGGTTCAGGGCCACTTAAAAAAAAGGGGTTTAGATTAATATTTTAAATTTATTGAGCATTATTTTAGGCTGTAGGGACACAAAAGATAGTAAATTATTTTTTTCAATCATATTTTTGCCCCAACCTTTGAGGATGGCTCATGGCAAATATGTAACAAGTTTGCTCCAGTTTTTTTTTTTAATTGCATTTTCCTTTAGTTCAATACCTTGAATTCAGAGTGCTTTCTTTACTCAGACTATTACAACTAATGACGTTTTCATTGCCAAAACAAAGTAATATTGAAACTCTCACCGTGAATTTTTGAAATGATGCAAATTGTTTTATTGTATTGGCTGTAAGATAAAGTAAGAGCTTCAACCCATGTGATGTACAGCAAAAGACCAAAGTTTGAACAGATTAAGAAACAATAGTGAACAACATCATAATTTATGTTACAGGGTAAGCTAATGTGCTGAGTAATTGGGATTTCATTCTCAAACCATTTTCTCCTCAGCTCTGCAATGGTCCTCTGAAATTTTTTAATGAATCTAAATTCTGTTTTTGAAAAGCATTGGGTAAGTCAAGTTTTAATGAACTTTCCAACAACTAAATCTCAAGCGCAGTTATATTTAAGTAATACGGTGGCAAGATACACTAAGCAAATTAACAAAGCTCAATAAAAATACGAACTTAAACAGCTTTACTGAAAAAAGTTGAAGTACCATCTATTGTAATGGTCTGTAATGTTTCCCGAACGTTCCCTTGGTGACAACTTTATGTTAGTTCATCGACCTTTGTACCGCCAGTCAATATAGTTTTGTGCGTAACACGCTTCAGCATAACTTAGTTTCCTCCAGTCTTGCTAGGAAATAGTTCTTACGAAAGTTTGTAAACCCGCTTCCATCCCAATTCTGAAATGCCAAAACAGTTATAAAGGTCCCTTTTGTAGTTCTTATTTCTTATTTGGAAACTTCACAATGTGACGGTCTCGGTTAGTGTTGAGGTTACAACTCGAATACAAAAATAGCATACGCGTGTATGCATGAGCTCTCGCAAGTAACTTCGTCCCAGATTTCTGGTGAAAGGATCTTGTTTCAACAAAATCATTCGGAAATCCTCTAATTATTAAGACTGTTATGTCCCCTTTCTGCTCATGGACCATGGAACCTTTCTGCTCGCTTTAACAACGATATTTTTACAGATTGAAGCACACTAGTTTACTGAGTTCATGTTTTGTGTTCACTAATTGTAATCCACCTATGAATATCACCCCATCAGGAACTTACTTTTAATTGCATCTTTTTGTCTTTATCTTTTGTGGCCTCATCCAGTATTGTTCTTGATTCAGTCTTTCACTAGCCTCGATGTTGAAAACGGTTTCTTGCTGAACATTTACTTTACATCGCCAAACATTGTTCGATTATAAATTTGTAGCAAACTGCATTGAAGCATAATTTTTAAGTATGCATGAGAGACCATGGGTCTATCTGCCCTTATCAGGGATAATAAGCACAAAAGTTCGAAGAACATTTTATTAATCAATTTTTGTTTACGTGTCCTCTTGTAACGGGCGTTTCCCAAAAGAGATGCTCACTTGTGTTCTGAAAGCGTTGAATTGAGATAAAATTGTGCAATTTTTCTGTTTTGATTCAAGTTTGACCTTTTTTTTTCAGATGCAAGCCCTGTTCTACCACAACCAAAGCAAGTCGCAGGCATTTCATGGTAACCTGGACACAAAGTCGGTACGTAAGGCCATCACCCTTCACCCGGTAAAACAACCGTCGTACATGTACCGTTTGCAAGCACATTTCATGTCCATGCGCATTCAAGACCTTCAGCACCAAGCAACTAAGCTGCAAAGAGTCCTCAAGAACATGGATCTACTGCTGAACTCTACGATCAGTTCGCTGTCAACGGAAGAAAAAACCAGCCTCCAAGGCGCGCGAGATTTTCATCACCAGCTTAGTTCAAGATACCATGAGCCTTGGGACATGTTCACGGCGCAAAAATTCTACTCCCTAGCCACGCTTCAGCCGCCTGAAACAGGCATGCGCGACCCGTGGAAAGACGGACTTAATCACGTGCTTGGGCAGACAATGGGATTAATCAATGAGGAGGCAAAGCGAGTTCTTCATCGCAGCCTTGAATTTAAAAAAATGAATCACGGGTACATGCGAGTACATCCGCTGTACGGTGCACAGTACCTCATGGACATGCTCATGAAGTATCATCGGCACATTGGACACAACCGGAGGCGCATGACAGTACACGTGCGTCACCACGCCTTTCTACAATTGCCATTTGGCAACATGGTCTACAGGGCCGAGCCCCTACTAAAAGAGGTCCCCTCGGTGCATTTTATCCTCCCCCTAACCGGTCGCATTGGAACGTTCCGCCGTTTTATGAAGAATTTCGAGGACGTCTGCCTGAAACGACGAGAGAATGCGAAACTTCTGGTGGTATATTTTCCTTCCGTGACTCCTGCGCATGAGCACAAAACTGTAATGAAAGACTACCAAACGAGGTATCCTGAGGCAGATCTATTGTGGCTGGAAGCAATAGGAGATTTTTCACGCGGCCTTGCTCTTTCTCTTGGGGCGAACCAGTTTGACAAAAGTGCTTTGTTGTTCTTCTGCGACGTCGATTTGGTTTTTAATGCCGAGTTTCTGTATCGCGCTCGTATGAACACGATACTTGGTCAACAAGTGTATTATCCTATGGTGTTTAGTCAGTTTGATTCCGAGATCACATACCCCAATCATACAGTTCCCAAAGACCAGTTCACAGTGAGCAAGGACGCTGGATTCTGGCGAGCTTATGCGTTCGGCATAGTCGCTGTTTACAACCACGATTTACGAGTTGTTGGGGGTTTTGACACAACAATTCAGGGGTGGGGGCTGGAAGATGTGGATTTGTACGAGAAGTTTGTTAGGCATCAAGACATTAGCGTGTTCCGTGCGGCGGATCCTGGCTTGGTTCACGTATACCATCCGGTCATCTGTGATCCTAAGCTTGTAGATCGACAATATGCTATGTGCCAGGGCTCGAAAGCGTCCGGTTTTGGCTCAGAAAAGTCGTTAGTCCGTCATATGTTGTCAAAAGCTTACATAAATAGGTAAAGTTACAAAACAGTAGAGAGCAATTTTAAATTTAATTTTGAAACTATTCTGGATCAGATTGGTTTCGCTGTACTTCGCTCAGTGATTCGTGAAGGAATTTGCGTCTCCTTTCCGACCAATTAAATTAAAAAGTAAATTAATTGCAACTCGGTAATTTGCGTCTACCCGCGCTACAGTCTCTCTGCCTTTTTTTTGGTTGAGGTCTCATTCGCTTCTGGTGATATTTCCTATGTTTCGATTGGCCGCTGTTATTATTATTATTATTATTATTATTATTATTATTATGATCATCATGATCATCATCATCATATAATTATCATTGTTAATACAGATTATTATTTATTCGTCTCATTCTTTTTTTGTGGGGAGGAGGGGGTTGCCCCGCCCTTGTTTAGTCCATGGATTGGTCCACACCAGGGAACCTCAGCGGTTGAGGCCCAAGGACCATAATCGGTTATGTCTTGGGGATCAACATCGGTTTCGCTCAGGAACCAAAATCGGTTTGGCTTGGGGACCATAATCAGTTTGGCTGAGGGACCAAAATTGGTTATTACAGGGGACCAAAAATGGTCATGACTAAGGGCGAACCGTGTTGAGCTTCTCCAAAGCAGGTCAGGTTTATGCTGTACATGAATTCCTTTCTTAATTAATAGGAATGTCTTGCTCGGCATTTTAATTTAGCTCGAAGTCTATTTGAAGCTTTATTTGTGAAGTTGTTTATTCCTTGTTAAATGGGGGGAAATTTGAGAGAATAACGAAACTTCGCTCTTTTACCGCAAGTTTTGACCAATTTTTTAGTATTTAATCATTACAGGCGAAGGGCGTTAGAGAGTGGCATGGTAATCGCAATTGGGAAATTTTTCTTTATCGCTGTATTGTTAAACGTTTTGTTTAAAGTTGGTTGATATTTTGTCATATTTGTTATTTAGGGCGTATTTTAGCTATTTATAACACAAGATATTAAAATAAAAATAGATATTTAGTCGAGAGTCCTGTTATTTATTATTTCTAATATTGTTTGCTATGTTCTTTTGTAAGCAAAAGGGTTGAGACAAAAAATTCTTTTTAAGAGTGTTATACAAAATTATCCTTCCCCCATCTTTCTAGTCTTTTTCCTTCCACCTCGTATACAAAGAACTGTGAATAAAAGCCCTATCTGTTAGGATTGAATTCAATTAAGACTAATTACGAGCGTTCACAGGGAGTTGAACTCAGGACTAATAATAAACGGGTACTTTTGGTGGTCCGAATAGCACTTGCCCCCAGGACCTCCCGATTATGATCCGACTCGCTAGACGCTTGATCATGCTGCGGATCCACTAATGAAGGCTTCCGGTGGCGGAAGATAGACATCTCAAGAGGCCAAACAACACAATTGTGTACCTTTGCTAAGATTCATGGCTGTGGAAACCATGATCCCCTTCTCCGATCAGTGTCACACACTGGGTTGGGTTCATTTAGGGGTTATCGGATGATTACCTTAACAAAATGAAAGAAGGGGAAACTCAAATGTCAGTCCCCTTTTGTACCTATAATCGTCTCTGGAAGAGAAAGTTCTGGTCATATACAGAGGGAATTTTTTTATTATTGAGAAAGATGATAGGTAAAAAAAAAATTAAAAAAATCCTCTGGAGGAGACTTTTTTTTTTTTTAGAATGTTTCAAATTTACATTGCGGAAATTTGAAACATAGTGAGATCTTGTAACTCTACAAAAAAGAGCCTTGCTCGTCACATCGTTTGCTGGCAGAAACTACCATGCTGTTCCTCTCTTTATTTACGCTATCGTTTGACAGATAAACTTTCTAAATTATGGAACTGGAAAATAATTATCCATTTCCATGTATCATGGAGTGGCTGATCACCGTTTTTCACCAAAGTATCGCACATTCATTTGCATAACACGCGATCTTCCCTCCAAAAATTTCCGAACTGAAAAATTTAAAAATGCTTTTTCTGACACTGAATTAAATTTAGTTCAGGCAGTTGGAGCTGTGGGAATGAGTTACCAGCCTGCATAAGAGATCTAAAAAGAAAATATTTTCGAATAAAACTCCATGATATTTTTGGCATCCTGACAAACGAACACAATTACTTAAAAACTGGAACAATTGTAAAAAGGTAAATTAATGTAAATAGTAGTGTGATATTCGACTTTTAATCAATAATTTCATTTTCGACCTAATTCATGATAGTGAAATATGTTAAATTGTAAACACTTCCCACCACTAAATTAAATTTAGTTTAGGCAGTTGGCCTAGATATCAGTAACGCACCTTAAACTAGCTAAGGCTATTTGCGAGTCGGTCAAAGTAATCTTGATACTATGACAATCGAAGAAAGGTGAATGTGTGAGGGTTAAAGCAGCTTTACCGAAAGGAGGTAATGCAATCTAGCGGCGTGCTTGAGTACGTTTCGCTTTCTCGTTTCCTCTATTCCTTCCCGCTTTGTGTTTTTCATCCATTCTTTCGTTTGTGAAAATTCACGCGTAAAACTTCTGTTCTAGCAATTACTGTTGTGATGCCTCAAATATTTTAGTTCTGCTGAATTGTTTAATCTAATTGTTTACGAAAAAGAAAAAAAAAAAAAAGCTCAGTTAACTGCGCAGATGTAGTTTTGTCACTGCGTTATTGCGTGACTAAAGAGATACGATTCACCATCCATGTGGACCAGACTTTCAGACTCAAAGATCATAGGGTCGGACTTTGATTTTCCTTTATATTAATTCCCTTGAAAATCTACTATGAAGCGTTATTATTACGGCCTGATAGGTACTCTTCTGGTTCTTGTCACAAGCTGTGTTCCTTTAGTCATCCTCGAAGCAGCAAGCTTTTGCGGTAAGGAGAAGGCTTCTGCCTTGATTCAGTGGATTGTCTCGAATGCCTTCTCCGCCGTCATCACGAAGAAGACTGATAGCGGACTTACAAGATGGTATTTGAAGGATGTTGAACTGACCCGCTCAGAACAGCTGACGAGGAAAGTTTTTTCCAGCCTTTTTGGGCTGTTCTTTACAATGTTTACCCTTGCTTCAAGTGTGTTTTGGGAAAACTTACTTCTCGACGTGAGCTACGGTTGCAAACCGGATGATGCTTCCGTGTCTATGGAATGCTTCGAATACAACATCAAGGAAAACGTGGAGTTCTGGAGAGCATTTGCAAGGCTTGGAGAAGATCCGATCGATTGTAGCAGTCCTAAGTATCTTAATGGATCTGTGGGTGTGATTTGCTACCAAATGGTCTTCAATATTGGCGTTGCTTCCGGGGCAAGTTACGGTGTATTCAAACTGGCTATGATTGCAGTCAGTGCAGCTACCAGCGCCATGTTGCTGCATAAACGATCGAAAAATGTAAATAGAACGAGGATCATTGTTGCTGTGTTAATCGTTACACTGTACGTGGCTTTCGTAGTTTCGCAAGTTGTCGAAACGGAGAAGGGACCATCTAGTTTAGTCGTCATGATCGATTCACACAATGTGGCGATCTATCTTCAAGTGCTTATGGGATTGGGTGCTGTCTTGTCATTCGTGTATTTTGTTCCTTGGAAGCAACTCGTTGCTTTTCAAAGTAATTTGTACCTGTATGATCCCATACTTTGACCTTCTTATCGCAATTTTCCATTCATTAATAAATCAGAGCTAATATTGTTTACAAAATTGTATGATTTAAGGGTTGTAAGCTCACTGATAAGGTGTAGATGGTGAAGAGCTTGGTCACAGGAGAGCTTGTTTGAAGAGTGACCAGTCATTTAACTGACATGTTAACTGGCTGACAGCCAACTCACCAACACTGTGGTCCACTTGCCAACAACTTTGCCAAAAAATTACACCTACTCTATACCAAAAGGTAATTAAACAGTAAGGAATATAAAAGAGTCACTAAACTGAATTGACTAAGGGTGTCAGTGAAGTGACCAAATAAGACTGTCCAGGAGTTGAGGAATGGTTATGGCAAGCTGACATGTCAGAAAAGTTAATGGGTACTGTTGAAAGGCTAGAGGTTACACAATGGAATAACCTGTGGAGGAAGGGAGAGGATAAAAAGAGGAACCCTCCCAAACCTTGTGCACCCCCCCCCTGCCCCTTCTCGTCTTGCACCTGCTTCTCAGGCTGAATGTAAGGATGATCTGAGTAAAAACTATGCTTGTTTTTCAATATTTAATTCCAAACTAAAGAGAGATAGGATATTATTATAATTTTATTAATCTGTCTCATAAATACAGTAAACATTGTAGGAAATTTTCTTTGTAGGTGGCACATCAAAGCAAGTGAGATGCCCCCCAAGACGCATTCACTATACTTTTGCAAAATAAACCTCCAGATATACAGCAGGCTGCCAAAAAGTTCTAATCTGCATCAATTCCAGGTCTGACAGTTCAAACAAGATTGTAATAAAAATACATCTGAGGTTACCTTGTTCAACCATCGCAACTGGTAGTGTACTTGTTAACAGCCTTGGAAATCCATTTAGTTATAAATAATATGTAAAAAGAGAAAACTCCCTGAAAATTAAATGTTAGAGATTCCACTTCAAAGTCCAGTGTTAAAGTTTTCATCAATTAATATGATCACAGAGCAACTCTACACTCTTTGCATCATTTCTACACAATTAATGAAGGTGTTGTCAATTAAGAATACTTGTTTCTACCATGTAAACCTCCAGTTAAAGACATAACTTTAAAAGAAATTATCAAAAAATTCTCCCCTTCATCTCTAGCTGATAATGAGGAGAATGAAGACACACCATTCTAAAAATGATTAAATAATTTTTTTGAAATAATTATTAAAGTTTGTTTAATAATGATATTAATACATTATCATTGATTTATATCACACTAGGAGTGCTTAAATGCTCTGCTGTAGGATAAATCTGTCAAAACTGATTTATTAGACAACTTCGCTGCCAGATCTCATCAAAACTTGCCAAGGTGCATGCAGAACCAAAGGGGGAAATGTCTCATAGTTACAATAACATTATTTCATCAACAGGAATCAAGAACAGACCTTATAAAATTCATAGGAAAAGACTCACTATTTTTCTCTTATCTTAACCCTTGACACCCTAACATCAGTATGCAAATTCTCCATACTGTTCTCCATACATTTCCTAAGGCGCTGAGTAGGAGAATTTGTTTAACAATCAACAGCTTTTTTGGATGGTGATTATTTCCTTTATTCTTGTGATGTTAGTGTTCGATTCAGGAGTGATAATATGCGAGGACATCAGATGCTAGTTACTTTTGGGCCTCCAAGGGTTATTAATAGCAATTATGATTCAAATTTGAAAATATTTGCAAGTACAAAATTGAAGTAACAAAATTGCAGTGGTGAAAGTACCACTCTTTAACTGATTCAGTAGCACTGGCTTTTGTCTCCCTACTATGCAAGTTCACCATCATCTTCATTTGTAAGCAGTCCATATTTCTGACGCATTGCATCAGTTCTGATTTTCCTGTCTGCTCTTCTCTCTGCATTTCTTTTCTGTGCCTCTTCTCGTCTTTTCTGCATCTTTCTGTCTTCCTTTCGGTAACTCAGTTGTCTGCGTTTTCGACAGCACAGACAGTAAACACAGCAGCCAGTTAACACCAGGACCACAAAAGCCACACTTGGTATGACATAAATTAGAACAGAACCTAAAGTAGAGAAATATAATGAGCAATGATGTTAAAATCACTAGGAAAGGTAGAAAAGACAGAAAATAAAAAACAAAACAAGAGAAAGCTGTGTTTAAAGTAGAAGTACAGATACATTGTAGTCATCCCAGCCATGTCAGAGTAAGACTCAAGCCCAGGAATTCTGGGCTGCAAGTCTAATACTTTACTTTCAGTAACACTGTCTGTGAAATGTGCCTGCAGTTACAGCTGGCTGCTTATGCACTGATCAACTTCAAAGCTTCCACACCCCCTCCCCCCAGTAACCAATAGGCATTTGACTGTCATCCATGTCCAGGGGGTGGAGAATTTTAACCTTGCCTGAGTGGGGTGGGGCATTTGAACTAGAAATGCCAAGTTCCTCCAGTGTAATACACATATTGTATATGGAGGAGTTTAAAGGTAAAGAGTCTGCTTTTGTGAGTGATTGGCTTAGAAAGACAATTTTCATATTGTAGAATGATGTTTACAAGTGAAAACCTAACAGCAACACCAAAAAACTAATACAAGACTTTGTTACATTCTACAACATTTGCTGATCACACAAAGAATTGTTCAACATTGGGTGGGGCATTAGAATGGAATTTTGGCCCGGGGGGAGAGGGGGGAAAGGGGGGATTTAAATGAGCTGATCTTCAAAAGTTTAAATACCTGAGAGGTACCCCAGGGGAAAGGGGGGTGATGTTGAAGTTTCAAATAACTCAACACATTATGACAGAGTCAATGCAGAAGGCAGCCATTCATAGATGTTGGGCCTTAGAGTATGACTGTCTTTATTCAATGAAGTTCAAAGCAGGGTAAAATTTCTTCACAGCCCCATACTATTGTTAAACAAATCTGTTTTCCCAATGGCAATGTATTGTTTATGTCATTGTTTTCTCTATCCAAGAACTGAATGCATAATGTAGGATGGGGCTATGCAGAAATTTTACCCAAAGCAGGACCCATTTATAACCCTTATTACAGTTACTTTTACTGATGTCTCTTTATCAAAAGTAACCTTAAACACAAATAAAGAAGCAATTTAATTGATAGATCAGAAAATCGGTGAGAAAAGTAAACGGATCACTTTCGACTTCAACTTTATTCCAGTGTACCTCTCGACCAGGGAATATATATAACGGCGTTATGTGTGACTCATAGTTTATATACTGGAAGATTTTACGCCACTATCTCAGTCGGTAGATTAATTATAATAAATTGATATATAATTTAATTAAATTACTGGCGTAAAATTTACATTATATATATCACCGACTGGAAGAAATTACGCCGTTAGTTACTAGCGTAAAATCTTACATAAATACATCACCGACTGGAAGAATCTCTACCACTCTTATCTTTCGTTGACATCTACCTTTTGAAGAAATCGTACAATAAAAATTCAAAACTCAAAACGTTACCTGCAACAAAACACTGCTTCCAATACCATTTATTTCCCTTGCAGTTGTGAGGAATAATCTTGATGCCCGCATCGTACTTCTTACATGTTACATCCGCGGCGCACCAGAAGCAACTGATATCTTTGACACAGTCACCACACGAAGTGTTTTTCTGTGAACAGGTCGTTTCAGGTGTTGGTGACGAAGTTGGTAGAACAGACGTGCTTGTTCTATTGCTGCTTGTGGTAATCGGAACGGTAGTACTCGGCGATGAACTTTTCGAACGTGTCGAAAGAAGTGGAGTTGTCGAAGGTGTCGATCGCTTTGTTGTGGTAGTATTAGCTGTGGTCGAAATGTTAACTGCAAACACACAGCTCCAGAAATAGATAACAAAGAAAATACACAAAACTAAGTTCTTCATTCTGTCTAATAATTTGGGAAAAGAAGGAAATAGCGATAAACAGCACCGATCTTTCTCAATAAACTGTTGTGAAATGCTGCACTTTCAAGAATGATGATGAAATAAATTATTTACGAAGAAGCCTGAAGCCGTGAAGTTGCGTGAAACGTCACGTGAAATGAAATCATCCGAACAAGGTTTAGTCAGCGGTTGATAGAAAGAAGTTGAGAAAATGGCGGAAAACTGTAATTTAGTTCGAACCGTTTGAAACGTTGATTCTTTGATCGTTAAAGGTAGATCTTCGCTCTTGTGGTGAAAATATCCCATATTACCATGGCACAACCAAAGAAAATTACACAAGAAACATTTGATGCGGTTGTAAGAGAGAATATAGAAGAATTTGAAATGGATTTGCACGAGGCTATAGAAGATGCGAAGGATCAGTTTAAAACTCAGGGCGTTGACTCGTCGAACTTGATCACATCATATATTCAAGATCCAGATACAGGTGAACTTAAACACAGCAATCCTGTGAAAGGTACGTTAGTCCTATATTGGAACAGGAAAAGCAAAAATAATAACACCAAAAGCTAAGTTATCAGCTGATTTTTAAACTGTACATATAAAAATGCTCAATTGAAAAATTTTAACACACCAGCAAGTGTAGTATATATGCTACGCATTTCTGTGCTATGCATTTACTCTTCTTTACCATCAGCTATTTGGATTGTACGTAGTATTGCTAGCCTTGATTGATGCATTAATGTAGGGGATATATGGCAAACTTTATCCATTTATTGGTTGCTAGGCGCTCAGTCGTCAGTCAAAGGTCAGCTTATAGTGAACTGATAGTTGATCAATGATTGATGGACACTCCACCAACAATGGGTCCATGTCTTGGTTGAGATAGAAGAAAGACAGATATTTGGAGATTGAAACATCAGCTGCTACTATTAGCTAGCTATCAGCTGACTGTCAATCAATTGTGAACACTTAGCAACCAATAAATTGATCAAAAACTGGTTGATTGATGTACTGAAAGAAAGAAAGATTTGAATATGAAAGCGATCTTTGTGGTAATGAACACTACTTGAACAGTAGTTAAAATAATGCCTGAAAAAATTTCAGGCCTGTACAGGATTTAAACCCATGACCTCTGCGATACCAATGCAGTGCTCTAGCAACTGAGCTAACAAGCCAACTGGGAGCTGGTCATTATGTTGGTTCCACATAAACCTGTGAAGTGATGAATAAATAACTGTGAATATATGAAAATCACATATGTGAACTGCAGATAAAGATGTGAATATGAAAGAGATCTTTGCAGTGATGAAAACTACTTCAGCAGTAGTGAAAATAATAATAAATTAAGATTGTTCTGCTGACCTATAATGCATAAATGCATATCATGCAGTCATCTTAGGTTAAACTCAAGACTTTTTTGTCTGATTCTAACTGTAGATTTTTTTTTTTTTTTTTTTTTTTTTATCTCGTTTCTTAAAATTATTGTAAGTCTATTTTAATGATAATTTTTAATCTTGTAATGCGCATTTGAACATTTTATGGAATTTGCGCACTATAAATTTTTAATATTATTATTATTATTAGATGCCTTGGACATGATACAGACATCTTTACAAGAGGATGATTCCCAATTACTCTGGAAAGGATTGCAGGATTTCTCCACTGAATGCGATAAGAGCGAAAGTAACAGAAAATTTGCAGCAAGCAGAGATGCCTTCAAATTACTCTTCTCCAGTTGCAACCATTGTTACTTAGTGAAAAACAAGGATAACCTTGCTGCCAGTCTTGATGCTTTGAGCTCATTTTTGTGTGGCCAAGGAGATCTTGCTGATGTTAAAATGATTGAATTTCTCTCAAACTGTTTAAAAGAACTTAAAGAAGAGATTTTAGTTGAAAAAATTGTTAAAACTGTAAGAGTTGCTTGCATCAAGAGTGAATCGAATCGTCAGACTTTTGTTGTTAATGGTGTCATACCTTGTTTAGTCGCTATTTTGAAAGATTTCAGCCAGTCAGGAAAAATCGTGAAGGAAACATGCCTGGCCCTGCGTGTTTTCACATTTGATGATGACATGAGTGTAGCTTTTGGGAAAGCACACGAGCATGCCAAGTTGATTGTGGCAGAAAATGCATTTGGAGTACTGTTGGGTATCATGGAACATTACAAAGACGTGGAGGTGGCAAGTGAGTTATGTGTCACCTTGAGTCGTCTGGCAGTGAGGAATGAATACTGTAAGGACATAGTTGATATGGGTGGACTGAAGATGGTTCTGAAGTTATTACAAGACCATACTTCTAACCAGGTAGGTAGAAGTATTTCTAAGAAATTTTCATTTGTGTGTAACATCTGCTTAAGGAGCCCACGCCACCAAAGTTAATCACAGTTTCAGTGGCAACTAGGAATATCGCTACAGTGTAGTTCTCCTCCCCCTTTACCTCCCCTATTACTTATCAGGTTGATCAATTGTGTTTTTTTGTACTTAATATTTATTTAACAACTGCATCACTTCCACTATTGGCAGCCAGCTCCTAGATGGAGACTTCTCCCATGGCTAGCAAATCTTGGCAACCCAGCCATGAGCCCCCATGTAGGAAAGGAAAGTGTCACACTGAATAAACAGTGGAAAGAGGGAGGGAAGGGGTGGGGAAAACTGCCTGGGTGATGAGCTGGCACCCCTCACAATGCTGCAAGTTCACACTCAAAGCATATGCAAGAATGCCTCAAACAAAGAGCACCTAGTATTCAGATGCATGCGCATATGCAAGTAACTGCTGACTACTAGAGAATGCTAATGCTCCTTGTTGTTAACTCTGTTAAATTGCATTTAACTGCATATATATTCTTGGGTGGAAAGAGGCACTGTGAGAGGATAGTTTCTCATTGATCCATTAGCCCCTAAGAGTGAAAGGTTTCTAATTTCTCCATACACTGTCACCCTTAGATCAAATGTATGGGTCATGAGAATAAGGGAAACAAACTTCAATTTATGAAGCTCCTGATTGTCAAACAAATTCTCATTTTCAGTATAATAGGAAATGTGAAAAGAATAGTGTGGAGAGTATGAATACTTATGTTTGAGTGTAAAGTGTTGAAGAAAAAACTATGGGATCTTGACACCCACTCCCTTGCAATTCAGAATGCACTACCCAAGATGGAGAGGTCTTGATAGATGTACAGAAAAAAAGGAAAAAAGATAAACCTTGATGGAATATTTTAGCAACATTTGTGCTCTAACTCGTACTCTTTGTTATAGAATATTTCTAAGCAGGTTTGCACTCTTCTAAGAGCCATAGCTGGAAATGATGATGTCAAGACTTCCATTGTTGATGCTGGTGGCCTGGGACTCATCGTTGCTGCCATGACGACTCATGCTAAGCAGCCAACAGTAGCGGAACAAGGATGTGCAGCTCTAGGTTCTATTGCTTTGAGAAGCCCCCCTAACTGTTCAGCTATTGTTGCTGCTGGAGGGGTAGAAGCCATTGTCAAGGCTATGCAGATTCATCCTGATGTTGCTGGAGTACAGGTAAAGGTTTTCATATCAATTTACAAGAAGTAAATATTTTTCTTCATGGTAGAAGCCTTAAGTTCAGTGGAATAGTGGGTGTAGAGATTGAAGTTAATCACAGTTGTGCTCCAAGAATAAGTTATGGCTAGAAATTATGTCTTATGAAAACCATATTTCTATCTAATACTGGACATTTGTAGTATGTTTTATCAAGTTTGTGGTTTCCCTCAGGTTTCCATTCTACATTATTTTTCATGCTTTGAAGTGCAAAACCTTCTTTCTTGCTTTCCTTTGCAAAATAAATTGAGTAAAACTCAACATGTTTTCAAATTCTCCAAAACATTTTTGTCAACTTAAGTGTCAATCAATCCAAAGCTTCAACATCCCCCCTTCCCCCCCCCCCCCCCCCCCCCCCCCCCGGCATTTGAGCATTGGTTTGTTCAAATTCCCACTCCTGAGTTCAAATACTCCACCCAGTCTTTTTGTAAAAGGCAAAATTAGCAACAGTGACTTTCTACACATTGACTGAGCTTAAAAACTGGACCTTTTAGACCTATTTGTCTGAGCCATTCACTTAGGTATATAAACTATTTACCTCAAACACCTCCATATTTAAAAGCATAACAGCTGTATTCTGCTGGAAAGACTTTCTACTTAAGGTTCAAATTCCTCATCCCACTGGGTACAGACAATGGTCAAATGCCTGTGGGTTTCCTGGGGAGATGGGCATGTTGAAGCTTCAAATTGATTGGCTCTTTACCAGTGTCTTTCTGGGTGGCTAATCATACTAAATACCATTGTCTCGCCAGATATCACCAATGTAAATTTGGATCAGTAAAATAATAAAAAAATGTTTATTTCATAATTCCCATTATGATTTGAATAAATTATGTCAACATTTTTTTCAAATATGCATGCCTTAACAAAGTTGTATGAAAAAATTGAAGACAACTTTGAAAACTATCTGTAATGGATTAAGATTTTGTAGAACCAAATAACTATTATTTTGTGAGTCAACCTGTAGTTCAACACTATGATCAAGTCAAGTTTAGGCTGGAATAAATGACTTGATCATTTCTTCTCTCCAGAAACATGCCTGCCTGGCTCTGCGCAACCTGGTGGCTCGTAATCCTGATCACTGTGACATCATCCTTGAAGCGGGAGCTGAAAGCTTGATCAGGAAAGCACATGGCAAGATGGGTGATTGTGAGGATTTAGCTAAAGCAGCTCTCAGAGATCTTGGTTGTGATGTGGAACTTAAAGAGCTTTGGACTGGAACAGGACAAGGCAAGGTTCATCACTGATTTGAGAGAGCTCAAAGCTTTTTAACCAATCAAATTCAACCATAAAAAGAATCACTACTTTGTCAATGACAAATCCAGTGCCATTTGCTTGTTTTGACTGCAAGTTCTCCTCGGCTTCTTTTCATTTTTTTTTGTTTTTTTTTTTGACTAAGACTGGTTTTTGTAATCACTGACATTGGTTTTGAATTCAGACATTACCCTGTAAAAAGGGCTATTGATAATTGTAAGGTAACAGTGCCTTGCCTAGTGTTTTTGTCATAGTAGTTATCATGATTCAACCAAGGAAAATCAAAGCATTAATTTGATTGCTTGCATAGTTCTCATTTTGCACCAAACTGTGAGAAAACTGTGGACTCACTTTTGGTGTGACCAAGCCATACAAGAATGTGTGTTAGTTAGAACTCATCATCAGCCTATATTTAACATTGTTTTAAAATAAGATATTTAATTGCATTAGAGTGTATTAAATTGTAACAATTTTAAAATCA